CCTCTCTATCTCTCTATCTCTCTATCTATCTATCTATCTATCTATCTATCTATCTATCTATCTATCTATCTATCTATCTATCTATCTATCTATCTATCTACAGTGGAGTCCACTTATTACGAGTCCTGAAATAACGAGAAGTCTGTTAAAAAGACACTATTCTAAAACCCTGATTGCTTCCCTTTTTTATCTTTGTATATACTGTAAAATACTGCTATAGCGCAATCAGACAAACTCGCGAGTAGGTTATAGCGAACTATTGCTGCTTTGTGCACATAATAATGTAAAACCTCGTCAGTGGAGAAACTTGTTGTTGATCTAGTGAAACAAAGAATGGGAAAGCCCAAGTGTGCTAACAATGAAGGCCGAAGTGAATGAATGGGGAGGGTGTGGCATGAGCAGACAAGCACAACGCATCACGTGATAGTGATAAGCCAGTCTTGTCTTGATTACATATGGGTGGTTGACAGGTGTTCTGGTGAGGTTTGCTCCTTCTTTCCCATCAAAAACTGTCGTCCTTCTCTCTCTCCTCTTCCTTTTTGTGTTTGTTACTCTCCTGTAACACCTCTAATCTTCTGCACGTATATGACTTAATTGTGTTGTAAGTGCCGTAAAACTCTTACTAAAACTTTTTTTTTAAGCAAAAAAAAGGATAAAATTCCCCTTTTCTGCCGATCATGTCTTTACCGTAATTTACGACGTTGGATCAAACATTTCACTTGTTCTTCCCACGATTAAACAATAATAATTAACCACCCGTCAGCCTGTCAGGGGAAAAAACCCACCTTCATTTTGGCAAAGGCCAGAGCATTTACCTGTGTGGAGAGACAGTATTTAGATGTAATACGCTTTCTGCACTCGCATTGCTTTCTTTTTTATATTATATCATAATCAGCCTCTTGACCTGGCTCATACTGGGTCACGAAAGACCCTACGGGTAACTAACTTTAAGACATCCTTTGTTGGGTCCCTTTCCTTTATATGATATAATATAATATACAAAGCTGTCGTTAGTTTTCTCATAGTTACCCATTGAAGAAGCCTTCGAGGCAAAACTTTGAATTGGGAATCTTTAAATTTATATGATCTAGACTTAAAATTAATCAAGACTCTCCTTGCCTACGCTGCTCATAATTTAACAAGGACGATGATGATGATGATGATGATGATGATGATGATGATGATGATGATGATGATGATGATGATGATGATGATGATGAGGATATCACTATCATCATCATTATTGATATTATCACTATCATTATTATTATCATTATTATTATTATCATTAAACAAGACTAAAGTGGGCGGGGAAGGGGTGAGAGAAAGGGAAAGTGGGAGAATCAGGAAGAAAAGATACGTGACACGTGCTGAGAAAACGATACAAAGCTGGTCTGCAAAGGACGTGCCGTGGACAGATATTGTAATGGAAGTGTTGGAGTTGGGACAAAGAATTTCCTAATCAAATATTAGGTGTTGCGTGGCTTTTAAAATACGACGTGCACATAATAATATTATTTATAAAGTTTCATGATGAAGACCATTAATTTTAAGTTTTTCTATTAACAACAGAAGTGTCATTGTCGAGCCTGTTTGCTGTATGGATTTCTAATATTTCTCCAACTCATGCAGTTGTTTTAAGTTGCGTAAGTCGCATTCAGCTTTGTGCAGATCTGAATTTATTTTCTTCGATTAACCGCATTTTCAAAACTACTATTGTCTGTACTTACTCAATATTCAGGTATCCTAATTCTGAGGCTGGTTGTATCGGTCTTACATTCCCAGTGACAATGATCAGGGATTGGTCAACAGAGGCGTGGGCAGCGTTGTACGATGTTACCAGGGCGACCGTTTCGTTTGTGTTTGTGTTTCCATTGGTTCTGTTAACAAGAGACATAATAAGGACAAATTTTAAAAAAACAACAGACGGAAAACAATAGTCGCCCATGTTTGTTCTTGTCGATATATTATGGTCCAAGTGGTAGAGGTACAATTAAGGGGTAATATACAACGAAAATAAGAAAATAAGGAGGAGAGATAAGGGCGATTGACGTTTGATAGGAATGAAGGAGCAAACTGCACCAGATTCGAAAAGAGCCTGGACAAACTACAACAGATTGGAAAGAAGGAGCGAGCAAACTACACCAGAGCGCCGCCAACCACCCACTTTAAACATGGGGTCAAATCTTATTCGACAGGTCGAGTCTGCTTGAGCAGGTCTGGTTAGAACATAAGACGTGTCAGCACATACCTATCAAACTGAAAAAACAAGTTCAAACATCGTTCAAATTTAAAAACATTGGCTCTTGTTCAATCTTACCATCGCTCTTCCTTCGTAGCATCTGCCAACAGTCTGGCTCAACTAGAAATAGAAATACTTCTTTCTTGGAAGGAATTAAAATTTCGATAAGTCCATAATTCCGCAGATCTGAGAATCGAATGCTAAATACACGTCGTCCAGCTTTCCTGTGGGCAATATTTAGTTACTATGAATCATTCATCCTTAGTAACTGCTTGCAGTACATCACAAAAGAGAAGATAAAACCTGTACCTGACGATTTGTCGAAAGTGCCTTGTAGAGACTGGAAGGCCTGGAACAGATATCGATAAGAATGGCTGTCCTCTCTGTGTTGTACTAACGGACATCCTCAGAAATAGCAGCTTCTTGGTTATTTACCGAAGTATGCTTTTTTAAAGAATGTGTTGCTTTTAGTCCGCCTCAGTCATTTAAAAATTAATACCCTTTAGATGGCATGTGACAGGACAAAGTAAAATTATTAGCTGTTTGTGATCATAACGGACGAAATTCAGGGTGAAAAAAACCAGCCATCTATATCAAAATACTGCTAAATCAGACACCCGTACAATGCCGTTCAATGTGATCTGAACCAAACATTTTTATTGGTATGCTGTGTTAGTATTAGACTATGTTAAACTTACATTAAATTAAATACACCCACACCAACGGTAATCAGCATTGCATCGCCACTTAATATTATGCAAAAGATCCACCAAAAGTGTAATTCCTTTCAAGAATCCTGGTAATAAAAGGTATCCTCTCTCGGTATTGCTTCACTACAAACACGGCCACGGAGCTTCCAGGTAGAAATTTAGATAAACATATTAGAAAACTTACAGATACAGGAATAAACACGAATATATCGGGGTTATTGACCTGAAAACGTTTATACAGATCATAATATGAAATGTATACACTGAAACATGCATGCGTACTAACATACATACATGTACACACACACACACACACACACACACACACACACACACACACACACACACACACACACATACACACACACAGACACACTCACACACACATACATACTTACATACATACATACATACATACATACATACATACATACACACACACATACACACACACACACACACACACACACACACACACACACACACACACACACACATTCACACCTTCACACCTTCACAGACAGACAGACAGACAGACAGACAGACAGACATACATAAATAATATACATTTACATGCATACCCTACTAGATAGATAGATAGATAGATAGATAGATAGATAGATAGATAGATAGATAGATAGATAGATAGATAGATAGATAGATAGATAGATAGATAGATAGATAGATACGAAAGCTAAAGTGCCGAAAACCTTAAAATACCCCCACTATCAGGACGACCAACTTGCCTGGAAATTACGACGGACGTGAGCTGGACGATCACGTTAGGATCTGGGCTAATAACGCACTTCAGGGTTAGCGGATCAGTGGACAAGGCATTCACGTTTGGAGGTTTGGGTTCAAAGCTGATGCTGGGATCTAAGAAAAGAGATAAGTAAACCTTGGCGATTAGTAGGAATAGTAAAGGTAGGTACGTAGGTAGGAAGGTAGGTAGGTAGGTAGGTAGGTGGATGAGGGATGGATTGGTATATGAAAAGAAATATTAATTCATGAAGGGAAGTGTTAGTTTATGGATGGGTAAATAAATATCTGGATCGACAGGTAGATCTACATATTAGCATCGACAACATGATTCATTTTTTAAAATAATATATTATGGCTAACCACAATAAAGAAGAACGCAGCTGTAACTGATTAGGTTGGTCTTGTACATGAGGTTGCCTACAATGTACAGGCTTCTCTCAACAAGTGTCATGTAATACTGTCTGTCTGAGCAAGCATGCACACAGAGATATTTTTTGGTGTTTTACGGGGCTCGCAACTGCATTAAGTTATTTGAGCGCGTGGGACACATTAATTGGTACATTTTCCGTTTGGTAGGAATTAGTTTTGAATTTTTACCCGGGTTGCGGCCGAAGCCTACTCTTATCGATTTTAGAACAAACAAAGGATCATTAACATGTACAACTTGCACACGAGACCTCTGAGATTGTTTTGCCCTTATCCAAAAAGGCTAGGTATTAGAGCTTACCTACCCTAAGATCAGGGGTATGGCTGAAAGACAGCAGTAAGGAGAACACAGAGACATGCGTTAAACCATTAGGAGTATCACTCTTTAAAAAAAAGCAGTGTAAATAAACTGAAACGACAATCTTTATTATTTTACTTTTTTCAATTTCTTTAAGCATATTATGATCAGCTCAGCCGTGTTCTTGATGATCTAAAAGTAGCATAACGAAATGATGCAAGTTCATTTCAAAATAGGCATAATACTTCTTCTCGGAACAGTTCTATTATAGAACCATTGAAACTGCAGCTCCCTGAAACCAATGACCTGAGCGAGACTTGTCACCTCGACTTGTTCAGACCAGTGAAATGTATTTTTCCTACTAAGGGGCATCCTACACTCCTAGTCTCGTGAGTCACGTGCAAAATGCACTTTTTGAGTTTTATGTCCTGCTTTGTCCATTATCTCATCCGGCTACTTAAAACACGTACTCGACAAATGGAACAGAGGGAATAATCTAATGTCTTTGATAGTTGTCTAGATAAATGAGATGCATGTCCAAAGTTCGTCCAGTGGTGTAGATAACTACCAGGTGTCTAAAAAGAGAGGACACATTCAAAAGGCAATACTCGGCATAGATACTCGGTCATCTTTAGACAAATTTCAACAAAACTTCGAAGACATAAAATTCAACGTTACATGTGTCAATATGAATAAAATCAAACAGCATGCTCGAAAAATATCAAGTTTTTATAATATATTAATCAGAATTAAACGAAATGTAAAAATTAACAACTTCATAGAAACCAACCATATCTTTATTAGGGAATAGTCACTATTTGTGCTTTGAAGAACCAATTGTACAACATTGATATTGTCCAATAAACCCAGGGAATAGCTAACTATTTAAATCTCCAGGTGTTGACCATTTCTCTCCAAACAAGCTCCAATGCGCCACTGGCAGCTTTTGAATTGCTTCTGAGTAGATGTCTGTTCAACATTGAGTTTCAACTGTTTAATATAATTGTTCGTGGGTTGTTTCTGTAGACTCTTTCTGTCAAAAGAACAAACCAAAAGGAAATAATTGAAGGGGCTCAAGTCGCGGGGAATGTGGGGACCATTCCGTATAACTATACCCATTTTGGCTTATAAATAAGACGTTCCCCAAACTTTTCTTGCAACCATGCAAGGGCTAGTCTCGTCGTGTGGGGTGTGGCCAAATTCTACTGGGACCAGATCTCTATACTATAAAATATTCTCCTCTCCCGACCTCTCAAAATACAGACAAACCTGTGTAAGACGGCCACCCATTGTCAAGGAGAAAAGTGGCCGCATAAGACAGGCGGCCGTCTTAGGCAGGACTGATCA